GTGCTGGGGAACTCCCCAGGGCTGACCAAGGGAACCCCCCTGGGCCAAGAATCCAAGAAAGGGTGAGGGAACTCCCAAGAAAAGACGAGAAAGAACGAGAAAAGGGGAGGGAATCCCCGAGAAAGAGCGAGAGAAAACGAGAAAGGGGAGGGAATCCCCAAGAAAGGGCAAGAGAAAACGAGAAAAGGGGGACCCCTGAGAAAGGGCGAGAGAAAAAGGGAATCCCCCGAGGAAATCCCCTATTACATCACGTCATTATGACGTCATCACCGAAAATGGTCGTTGCTAAGGGTGGTGTCATACGTAACGTCATCACCGGAAGTGACACCTTCCCCGGAAGTGGTCGTTGCTAAGGGGGCCGGAAGTGGTCTGTACATGCGCAACACCGTTGCTAAGGAAGCACGTGCGTTGCTAAGGGAGGGCCTGTACCCAGGCCCCCACTACTTACTTCTATAACGTAGAATTTCAAAAGAAGAAAACCCTGCTGTGCTCTATACCGATTCATGTATGCTAGGGTCGCGATTAGATAACTGAACAACCGATCTTTATTTCAAGTCCATCTCACGTCCATTGTATCTTTGACGTATTGGGTAATTAGAAAAACGACGGGATAGAGTTATATTTATACGCTTTCCTTGTGTCCTTTATCCATCAATTAATTCACTGCTATCAGTTATGACCAGTTAAAACAAGTGGTTTCCATGCAAGATATGCCCACATTTTGCAAGAAATGGATGGAGAAGAGGTAAAATCAATAGGGCTTACCCCCTCATTCAAGACCTTTTGATCCGTAATACATTTACGTTTCATCAGATTTGGACAACAATTTTAGCCCCCCCCCCTCCTCCCCCTCCTCCCCCTGGAGGCCTCAAAATCCGTACATATTTCAAATTTTCCGTGAAAAGCAGGGTCTATAGCCCTAGAAGGTAAGGTCTGATGCTACCAAAGTCGAACCCATCCAAGTGCTTTTGATCCTTAACACACAGTTTAAGTTCATCGTGAAAGGTCCACAAACTTCTTTCATAATTCAAATTTTGTGTAAAAGGCAGGGGCAGATGCGTAAGAAAATTGAACTCACCCAAAAACAAGTGATATAAATATATATTTTAAGTTTTATCAAAATTGGATAAAAAAAATCGAACCGCCGGATGGTCTACAACCTGGGTATTACGGTCAGATCTAAATATTAAAGCCACCGGCAGATTTCGTCAAGACCACGAGATGTAAACAGGGTTATGGCGCGTGATTGTTGCAGAGGATTATGGGTTAGGGTAAGGGCTAGATCTTGGGTTAAGGTTGGCGCTACATCTCGTGACCTTGGCGAAATCCGCAGGTGGCATTATGATTTAAATCTAGCCTGAGTATTACATACTTTAAGGCCCGATTTTCAGGAAATGCGAACTCAACCGTTATGGGGTAACGGTGATATATTCGAATGCCTTATAAATCGGAAAAATTGTAACCTCTAGAGGAAACACAAGCTAAAAACGCGATTTTCCGTACAATCAGGGGCTATAATCCAAGAAGTTACAATCCGATATGCACGAATATGGAAAGGAACCAAACATACATTTAAAGTTTCATCAAAATTTGTGAAAATTTGCTGATGATAGTACCCTGCATTGTTCTCACAAAAATATTTTATCCATTGCCAATATCTCCAAAATGATCTCTATTTGATTGCTAAATGGTGTGAAAACAACGGGATGGTAATCAATCCTTCGAAAACAAAATCAATGCTGATTTCATCAAAACACAAAAGAAATCAGAAAAACCTAACTTTATTACTCCATGGTGAGAAAATTGAGACGGTTACTACCGCAAAATTACTTGGAATTCAAATTGACCAAGACCTTAATTGGGAAGCACAGATAGCAGATATGTCTAAAAAAAACTTGAAGCAAAAGTATTTCTCCTAAATAAGATAAAAGATCATTTACCTTACGAGACAAGAATTTTGTTTTATAATAGTTACAAACTACCAATATTTGATTATCGCTCTATTATTTGGGGGAATGCTACCAAAGTAGATTAAACATTCTCTTAAAATTACAAAAGAGGGCAGCAATAATTATTCTTGATGCACCAATTGAAACTCCGTCCACCTCTTTATTTACTAAACTCGGTTGGCTTACCCTTACACAGGGGATTCTTTATAATAAAATTTTCATTCAAAATTATTACATTTAATACTCCACTTTATCTAAACTCCTATTTTATTGAAAAATCTCTTGTTTCCAAAACTGATAACTTGCTCCGTTCACAGACCAGTAAATCTCTTTTCCTTCAAAAATGCAAAACGGAATCCATGAAACGTACTTTTCATTAGTCTGCATGTCTTTTATGGAACAATCTGCCTTTTGATATAAAGATGTGTAAAAATGTTGAAAATTTTAAGATTAAACTGAAAACTCATTTATATTCAGTACTGAAGAAACCATGATATTCAACTGATGACATACTTATTATTTTTCATGTATATTTAACTTGCAACTGCATTCTATCTTATTTTGTGTGCAATTATAGTGTTCCTTCTATATTTTACTTGTATAATGTATATGTTTTGTAGTTTAGGAGTGACTTCCCAAACTTCCCACTTTAAAATGCTATTGCATTTCAAATGATTTTGAATTTATCCTGATATTACATGTATATATGTCTTTGTAGCTTAGGAGGGACTTATGGAAGATTAGTTTTTTTGCAAACTAAATAAGTTGCCTCATTAAATAAAGTTTTTTATTTTTATTATACGGGATCGCAATTTTTGTCCCATCTGAACGACTGAACATTGTACCTTGCCATGAGGAACTGTCTCGGACAATACCTCCTGGTTAGCGAGGCAGTGCCTTACTCACAGAGCCACCACGGCTATCTTGAAAAAATAAAAGTAAGATTTGATTTTCCAAAAGGCCCACATGTTTTTAAGGACACCTGTAAATCATCAAATTGTGATACAATCGTTTCATAGATACGTTATGTTATATAAATTCGTTGGCAAACAATTACATACTCAAATGTCTTATTTTCAGTGCAGAAGCCAAAAACATATATTTTGGTAAACATTTAAAGTAAACATAGCCAATATTAAAGGTGCTGTACCCTGCTATACCGTAATCTATCACATTAATATTTTTTAAAAAGTTGCACAGAACATTTGTTTACATTTGTGTTTTTGATAAAACTTTCAGAATATGCACAAATGACCCAATTTATCGTTTGTCATTGACATTTTATCTGATTCAAAGTCTTGCACTTTTTAAAAAAAAAAATCAATTTTATGACGTCGCTTTAAAAAAATCTAGGTCAAATATCAAAATTCTAAATGCGCCGATCAATTGCGAATTGTGAATGCTTTCCCAAAAATATGACGATATTGAAAATTGGATACAAATTGTAGGACGAGTAGGATTTTGGAGATTGCTTTACATTTTCAAAATGGTGGCACTTCCGGCGAATTATAACTTTATGAGATTGCTCTTAAAAGTTGATAGACGACTACGACTGACAAATATTTTTAAATATGGCCAAATTAAAGAAGTTGAAAATCTGACTTCATTTTCAACGGGGAGATAATCGGAAATTTTTTGTTGACATTTCTGGCTTAATCCACCCATTTGTAATGTATTCTGAAACTTTCAAGTCGAAATCTTCAAAAGTAAAAGAGTTACGCTCAGAATTTTCACTCTTTCACTTTTGAGCTTAAAATTGGGTAGTGATTACTGTGGCTAAGTGGGTAAAACGCTGGCCCGCTAGCCTTGACGTCGGGTGTTCGATCCCTGCATTGGCCGAGAAAGTTCATCTAGATTTTCCGGCGTGGTTTCCCCTTGTCAGTGATGCAGGACGGAGGGCCTGACAAGGACAGCTGTCTAGTAGTTCGGATGGGACGAGAAACCGCAGTCCCGTGTACACATTGGCGTGCACGTAAAAGATCCCTTGGCAGTTGGAATTCTATATATAAGAGTAGGCCGTGGTTCCGCTGTCCGGGGAAAATTTCCCAGTTCGGAGCAGAACAGTAGGACGTTAAACCCCATTTTATTAAAATTGGGTCATACGAGGCTACAAATTGGTGAACACCGCATTTAAATTGGTTGAAAAAAAAAAAAAAATCCTTTGATGTCTAATATTGGTTTATTTTCGTCGATGACGTCACTTCCTTTTATCCTTTTTAAAGTTTTAGTTATTCATTCACCTTTTGAACTAAATACCTTTCGGAGAGTATAGGGTTTAATAATCCGAAGAAAAAAATATAAAAACTAATAATAATCTTTACAAAAACAATAGTTTTTAAAACTAATAATAATCTTTACAAAAACAATAGTTTTTATACTACGTAGAGCGGGGTCGGGTATCCTCGGACTGTCGGGTCCACTCGGACGTTATCTTCTGTCAATCCTAAATCAATTCTGATTGGACGAAAAGCGTCCAACATGCGCGACCTGTCTTTCTCGTGACCTTCACCGTCGGAGAAAATTCGTCTGCTGTTGCTGAGCTAGTATTTAATTGGTCAACAAACATAAATTACTCCGCCTGAGTTGCTGCAAGCGCATGCGCTAAGCTCCTAGATCATAAATATAAGTCATCTACGGACTACTTTACTGTTATATTCTTGTTTTCTCATAAATTATGTTTACATTATGTTCCGTCCTTTGCTATGAAAACGAGGCTAAGCTAGGGTGCATTCGATTAGAATACAATCCTTTGTCCGAGTTTACACTCCGCAACTCCGAGTCAATCGGGTCTGTCCGGGCAATTTTTTTTTCGTCGTATTTTTTTTTTTTATCTAATTTTTGGTAGATCTATATCTTCATATTTTTGTTTGTCTTTTTCGTATCCTTTATTAAAATTGTAAATTAATAAAAAAAAATATCAATAGCTAGTCTTTTTAAAAAAAAATTTTCAGTATGAGCCATCAGATTAGACTCAAAGATCCTAAAAAATTAAAATTAAGGTATGCATATCGGGAGATGAAAATGGCTATGCAGATGGTCAACAATAAAACCATGTCGGTGCGGAAGGCCGCTATTGCATATGGGATTCCTAAAAGCACCCTGCATGACAAATTAAAGGAAAAAACTCCTTTAATTCCCATCCCAAGAACCATTTTGTCCCCTGACGAAGAAAATATTTTGGCTGAATGGGTCATCAATATGTCCAAAATTGGGTATGGTAGGACAAAGTGTGAACTTTTAGCTAAGGTTAAAAGTATATTAGACAAAGATACAAGAATAACCCCGTTTAAAAATAATATGCCTGGCAAGGACTGGTATTATGGATTTATAAGACGCCATCCAAATATATCTGTCCGTACAACAATGCAGCTTGGTAAGGAGCGCGCTTTATTGACTCCAGAAAAGGTCACTATGTGGTTTCATGACTTCAATGAATTTATGTCTATAGAAATAAAAGACAGCACTATATATGCCGACCCGAGCAGGTGGTACAACGCGGACGAATCCGGCTTCCCTCTTTGCTCAAAAACATGTAAAGTTCTTGCAGAACGAGGCCAAAAAAATATCTATAATTTCACCTCGTCAGACAAAACACAAATAACAGTTTTGGCAGCCATGAGTACTGCGGGACACTACATAAAGCCTCTGATTGTTTTTCCCGGGCAGCGATTTTCGTATAATCCTCTTGAGGGATTTGAAGAGGCATCATTTGGCAGGACGGAGAACGGGTGGATGGACAGCGAACTCTTTTCTACTTGGCTTCGGGATATGTTCATACCAGAAGTGGTAGAGAGAGGTGTCCGTCGACCCGTTGTCCTCTTTGTCGATGGGCATTCTACCCATCTTACATTAGATGCCTGTGATCTTTGCAGGGAGAATGGTATAGTTCTATACTGCTTACTGGAACACGCCTCGCATCTAATGCAACCTTGTGATTTACGTCTCTTTGGCACCCTGAAAGAAATGTGGAAACAGTCCGTGCGCCAATTTCAATCCGATCACATTGGCCAGGTCGTAACAAAACAGCTTTTTGCACAAACTTTCAAGGGGGCCTGGGTCAGGGCTACTACAATTGAGAACGCTGTAAAGGGGTTTAAGGATGCGGGCCTTTTTCCTATGGATCCGTCAATGGTTTTGAAAACTTCAAAAATGGACCCCAGTAAGATATTTATAAGGCAAAATACTCAGCAACCTATTCCACCATCCTCCTCTACTGGGCACTCATCAACACCAATATCCATGCATCCATCATCATCATCATCATTGGCAGCTTCATTTGGTCCTGCATATACAGCATCATCAACATTATCAGCTACTAGTACTACTCATATTTCTAATGTCAGCCCGTCTACGTTTCCTAAAAACGCATCATCATCATCATCAACTACTAGTACTACTCATATTTCTAATGTCAGACCGCCCACTTTTCCGAAAAACGCATCATCATCATCATCATCATCAACTACTAGTACTACTTATATTTCTAATGTCAGACCGTCCACTTTTCCGAAAAACACATCATCATCATCTACTACCCATTTTTCTAATGTCGGACCGTCAACATTCCCCCCTTCACGCATCATCGTCATCTAGAACTCTTGTTTCTAATGTCGGGCCGTCAACTTCCTCCATTTCATTACTATCTCCGAACAACGCACCATCATCGCCACCCGGTGCATCCATAGCACCTCTTGGTCCCTTGTCATCACTTCCATTGCAGCCATCATCATCATCATCATTCACCGTAACTGCCGACATTACACCCCTACCATCTTCAAGAAATGTAGAACAATGGACCGCGATTCCTATTGGACCAGTTGCATCATTCGTTTCTTCAGCGTTTGAACAGAATTTACAATTACCACAAGTCGCGCTTAAAGTTAATGGCCCAAAGAGGACCCCCCTTCCAAAAGCCATAACCGGTGACAAGTTTAGGAATTTGTTATTGCAGAAAAAACAGGACAAAGAAGATGAAATTGCCTCCAAGATAGCGAGAAAGAGAGAGAGAGAGGAGAAAAGAATAGAAAAGGAGAAGCTTAAAGAACAAAGGAAACTAGAAAGAGAGAGAAACAAGAACGAGAGAGAAGAGAAAAAACGCTTACAGAAGCTTGAAAAAGAAACCAAAAAACGTAAATTAAACGACGACACGGATTCAAGCGAAAGTTTCTCCGTTGACGATGATTCAGGTGATGATATAGCCGAGGTCAACGCAAATATGTGTTTCAGGTGTGATCTACCATACAAAGAGGAAGACGCTAGTTTGTGGATAGGGTGCAACAAATGTCCACGGTGGTTTCATCGTAGATGTGTACACATCATAGATTTGATGGGCTTCGACGAGGAGGAGATCGAGAATTTATACTTCGAGTGCGATTACTGTTGTTAATTTACTAACTTTCTGGCAGCATGGTTAAAATATTTGTATTGGTAGTGAGTTGTATTAATATAATGAATTAAATTCTAGATGAAATTGATTTGTTAGGCAGATTCTAATTGTTTTAAATTGTGCTACTTGGTTAAAAAAAAATTCATTAAAATCTACTTTATTCAATTGTACAGTTAAATTTGTTCAATAAAATCTACTTTTTTGTACAGTATACAACTAATTAAAAATCTCTGAATTAACTTACAGTGTAAATAAAACATTTAGAGTGCGAGAATTTTTTTTTTTTAAAAAAGTAAAAATGTCCGGATAGACCCGAAATGTTGTCCGAATACATCCGACATGTTCGACAATACCCGAATGCGCGTGTGTAGTTCAACTTCATTCGGCACACGCGAGCCTCCACTTAGCTGGATTTTTTGCTTCCAGTTCGTATAATCGCATTCGTAACATCTCATATAAGTATTTTTTTTCAGTTTCCACTCAGAAATAACGAGGTTATGAACAGGTGGGCTTAACTGTCCGAAAGTACCCGACCCCGCTCTAATATTTTAAAAAAACTAATTAATAAAAATCGTAATATAGATTTTTTTAAAAATAAAATAAAACCAGCGGCTGCCAGGAAGGATACGCCCACATTTTCGAGAGATGGATAGAGAACAAGCTAACAAGAAAGTGATTTTTCCTACAATCAAGGGCCATAATTCAGGAAATTACAATTCGATATGCGCATATATCGAAAGGAACTGAGATCTTTGTGTTATAAACTTACATTTCAAGTTTCAACAAAATCGGATAAAAATTGTGACCTCTATAGGGTCCACAACCCTGATATACCATACTTTTACGCTATTTGAGAACGAACGGCGGCCATTTTGTCTGTCAATTTTGGGGCGATTTTCACAAAATTCAAACTCAACTGTCCTTAGGGTCGAACGGTAATATAATAATACGATTTTTTAAATCGGATAAAAATTATGACCTCTAATGTGTCCACAAGCTAAAAACATGATTTTTCGTACAATCAGGGGCCATAATTCAGGAAGTTACAGTCCGATATGGGCAAATATTGAAAGGAACCGAGATCTTTGGGTTATAAACTTATATTTTAAGTTTCAACAAAGTCGGATAAAAATTGTGACCACTATAGGGCTCACAACCTTGATATACCATATTTTTACGCTATTTGAGAATGAACGGCGGCCATTTTGTCTGTCAATTTTGGGCCGATTTTCATGAAATTCAAACTCAGTCGTCCTTAGGGTGTAACGGGGATATAATAATACGTTTTTTTAAATCGGATAAAAATTATGACCTCTATAGGGTCCACAAGCTAAAAAGGCGATTTTTCGTACAATCAGGGGCCATAATTCAGGAAATTACGGTCCGATATGCGCGAATATCGAAAGGAACCGAGATCTTTGGGTTATAGACTTACATTTCAAGTTTCAACAAAATCTGATAAAAATTGTGACCTCTATAGGGTCCACAACCTTGATATACCATTTTCTTACGCTATTTGAGAACGGACGGCGGCCATTTTGTCTGTCAATTTTGGGCCGATTTTCACGAAATTCGTATTCAGTCGTCCCTAGGATGTAACGGTGATATAATAATACGTTTTTTTAAATCGGGTAAAAATTATGACTTCTATAGGGTCCACAAGCTAAAAACGTGATTTTTCGTACAATCAGGGGTCATAAGTCAGGAAGTTACGGTCCGATATGCACGAATATCGAAAAGAACCGAGATCTTTGGGTTATAAACTTACATTTCAAGTTTCAACAAAATCGGATAAAAATTGTGACCCCTATAGGTTCCACAACCTTGATATACCATATTCTTACGCTATTTAGGAAGGAATGGCGGCCATTTTGTCTGTCAATTTTCGCCGATTTTCACGAAATTCGAATTCAGTCATCCTTAGGGTGTAACGGTGATATAATAGAACGGTTTTTTAAATCGGATAAAAATTATGACTTCTATTGGGTCCACAAGCTAAAAACGTGATTTTTCGTACAATCAGGGGCCATAATTCAGGAAGTTACGGTCCGATATGCACGAATATCAAAAGGAACCGAGATCTTTGGGTTATAAACTTACATTTCAAGTTTCAACAAAATCGGATACAAATTGTGATCTCTATAGGGTCCACAAGCTAAAAACGTGATTTTTCGTACAAACAGGGGACATAATCCATGAAGTTTCGATCCGATACATGCCAATATCGAAAGCAGCCGAGATCTTTTGGGGATAAACCTATATTTCAAGTTTCGTCGAAATCGGATAAGAATTGTGACCTGTAGAGAGTCCACAAACAATTGTGGACGGACGGACGGACAGGGGCGACGGCATAATACGTCCACATGAAAATGTGGGCGTATAAAAATTAACCTATGTCTGATATAGACCACCGTAGTAGTCAGACTCACAGTCGTTCGAAAGTATTTATTAGCTTAGACCGTACGCCTAAAGGACGTTTTCTGAAATCCCATGACCCGGGACTGTCAAATTCCAGGCAAATTGTTAATGTTTTGTGGCCATCAATTTTACATAATGATAGAATTGGTTAAACATATTCCAGGATTATGTGTTAGTACAGACCATTTACAACTTACTGATAGTTTCATTGAATACGAAAGGATGTTATATGAGGCTATAAATTGAAGCAGTTGATAAGAAGAACGGTTTACCATGAGAGATACATAGAAAAACTGTAAATGATTAATTTGTTGTTTACATGTCAAGCGATAGTTTATTCCTGTGTAAATAAACTCTCCGTGACATAGATTGCGACTTGATTTTCGGCTTGTGCTATAAAGCTGCAATTTTGTACGCCCCATAATTATGGGCGTATCGTCGCCCATGTCGGTCTGTCAGCACTTGTAAACGCTGTAGAGGCTACCGTTTTTATCGGATTTATTTCACTTTTGGTGTGAAGCATTATGATAAGAGTATGAACCAAACTGATTTTCAGCATTTCGCTCTCAGTACCGGAGTTATCCCCTTTATCGAAAACATCTTTAACGCGATATAGGATGGAGTTTTTAATGGATTTTTCCACCAAATTTGGTGTGAAGCATTATGATATGAGAGTATGAACCAAATTGATTTTCAGCATTTCGCTCTCAGTACCGGAACATGGGGTTTTTAACGGATTTTTCCACCAAATTTGGTGTGAACTGTGAAGCATAAGGACGTGGGAGGGTGAACCCTTTTGTTCTTCAGTCGGGGAATGCACCATATTGATTAACAAATTTTTTAGCATCTAGTTTGATCGATGCTTTAAGACATGAAACTAGGTATATAGTGTCACTACATCAAAACCTTGACTAAATTCAATCATCAGAATTTTCTGCTTTATAAAAAAAGATAAAATTACAATTAATGAATGTGTCAACTAAATATTTGGGATTGACCCCGGGGACAGTGTATTCCAACATGGCTCCGTGATCATTTTCAAGGGGTAAACGGGGGGAAAAAGAAGTGCTTTCTATATCTGCACTACAAAGGGACCCCCTTTCTGGATTAACGTCGGGATTTACAATAAATGTATATTGCCTTCATCAAATTATCATTATATTGCCTTCATCAATTTATTTGTCTAATCTGTATAAGTTTGCAATGTCTACAAGACTACATTATTCTAAACTTTGTGGGATTGTGATTTTCTTCGAGTTTGTATAATTTTAAACGAGATTCGAAGATTAAAATGATGTAATTGTTACTTTAAGTATTTTTATTAGTCTCACTCCGCTCAGCCGGCAATTGAAAAATATAAAGTGAATTGAAGCGATATTTGGGGGAAATTTAATTGTCTTTTATATACTACCATTACCCAATCTATGGACAGACAAGTAACTGACACCAACATTTCTTCTACGTGGATCATAAAAAAAAAAAGATGAAAGCATGTCGTTTAAAACTAGGTGACACATATTTATTGAGTAGTAATACAAACCATATGGCTTAGTAATAAATAATACTATATAACTAGGGATATGAGGTCATGCTAACACGACAAAACAAACTGACATACCAAGATTTTCGCGGTTAATGATATCGACTAAATAGGCCAGTCAATCTAGCCCATTTTATGGCTTGACTAACCACAAATTGCAAAAGAAATGCTCCCACCTGTATTCACTCAAATAAAGGGAAGTATTGAGATTATCACGTGCCTCTGTTATATAACGTGTCCCTTAGATCATCCAATAATCAATAATGACTTTTTTATTGCGCTTACTACGGATATATATATCCAAATTAATTAGCACAACCGGAAAGCTGCACTACTTTGTTTCACGGTAAACGATGAAAAGATAAAAGGTATGCCGACACAAAATGATTTCAACACTGGTTTAATAAAATAAAACCATGTACGAACAATCCAAACCATTAGACAAAATTCGAAGTCCTAAAAAAACGGTATAGGCAAAATAGTGTAATAAGGCAAAATAGTGTAATCAGCATATGGACTGTTCACCGTGTACAAAATACACGACAAACAGTGGTAACAGGTGTCCGGAAGAGTAAGCATACCCTGCCTGGCGCCACACCCGCCATAGCTGCATTCAAATTATTAGGCGAAATCTCGGTAAAATAGCGTGATTGGCCAATGGAGTATCGGTATGCAAAATGCACGTGATGAACAGTGTTAACGATGTAGTAGACAGACATTATCAGGGAGATAGTATACGCGTCAATTAAATATATCTATACTATTCAAAAAAAGTAGGGGATATTTGATTTTTAAGTGTTATTAAAGTCACCTAATGAAACTGACGAAGAAACAAATGACAAAATGAAATGAAGTTCACATTCATCGATTTATTCCAAATGATCGTTAGACTAAGTAAGGCACAGACTGACCATTATAAAGGTAAAATGATACCCTTGGTCAAACAGCAAAGTTACCACAGCATCACAACCAAGTCAGTAACGGGTAAATCCTCCTCTGTTTGCCAAACAAGCATTGATCCGACGTGGCATACTCCTAATGAGACGTCTAAGGTCATTTTGGTCCAGATTGTCCCATTCCTGTTGCAACGCAGCAGCAAGTTCTTGGACATTGGCAGGACGTTGTTGACGTTGACGTAACCTCTGTCCA